TACCAATCAGAGGGGGGGAGACCAGTGACACCTCCCCTAGGGCTGTCAGTGAAGGTCAGGTAAAAGGTCTGACTACATGAAGGTCTCACCAAAGACATATTCCATTTGAGTGTGAATTCCTTTCATATGAATTGAGGTCTCTGAAATGAGCTCCAAGAGTGGCATAAATAAATGGAAGTTTCCTGGATAAAACCAAGGTTAGTTAGCCTAGCTGACAGCAGGAACCATAGGAAGACCATTTGTGTAGCTGCAGCCACAGTAACTTCACAGTGTATAGTTTTCTCCCTTGTATGAATCAGGATATCGAGGGTAGAATACAGACAAGTACCAACCCAGGACACTGGCAAACACACACCCCATGGCCCCAGCACTCACCACACTCACATTTATCTTAAGGGAACTCTGAGCCTCAAGTACATAGGCACCCAACACCACTGAAATTCTTATTTTAATGAATATTAAAACAATAAAAGAAAGAATAAAGCATTTGCTCTTGTTTTAAGGGTTTAAATGTTCTGCCAAAAGAAGCTAAAAGACTAGGTCAAAATTATTCACCAAAAATGCAAAGCTGGTCAAACCTTCCAGCTAAGGGTTACTCTATATCCCCAGTGGGCAGAAAGCCAAGAGTCTGATCAAGAGATAGCACATGAGTTTACATTTATCATCCAAAATGAGTGTCAGAAGAACAAAATTAAACTTTGAATACTCTGATTGTATGTCAGTTACCACTTGAAGCATTTTCAGTCTGTTTTAATGCATACTTATCATTTTATTCCCAAAGACAAGTATGTTTACTTCTAAAGAATTTGTGGCCTTGGGAATCTGTAATATACTGAGGTTCCATGTATATACTTGTGATCCTGTAGTATATAAATATACTGTAAATTAACCAGGCTTCAAAATAAGAAATCTCAAGGTCAGTTTGAAAAAATGTTTTCCAAACACTCAATTAGAACCAATTGAGGAAATCTCAATTAAAGATTAAAAGGCACTGGGAACCAGCAGTTAGCGTAATGGCTATTGTCGCTGGATTCCCACGTAGTCGACCACGGTTCGCGTCCCGGACCCGGTAGCTTAAAACTCACGTCGGACGCATGTGCGTGTGTGCCCAAGATCCCAAGAGGAGAATGGAGGAGAAGGGATTGCGGCATGACCATCCCCTCTGGGGGGTGATTTCTCGCTTTCTGTCTCTCTGTCTCTCTCTGTCTGTCTGGCGAGTGCACACGCCCTATAGCGAAAACCTCTCAAAAAAAAAGATTAAAAGGCACTTAAAAAATACATCAATCAACTATAATTAATGGACAGTATTTGAATCCTGACTTAAATATATATGAAATTGGAACACTGACCAGATATTTGATGGCTTTAAGAAATTAAGTTTGGATGATTAAGGCAACTGATTCCAACAAAGCCAACCACAGCTCAAGTTCCAGACCTGACAGCTTAAAAATTATGTTGGGCAGCACATGCATACATGTCCAAAAATCCTAGGAGGAGAATGCAGGAAAGGGACTGTAGTGTGGCCATCCATCCAGGGAGTGATTTCTCACTTTCTCTCTTACTGTGTCTGTTTCTCCAGCAAGTGCATGCACTCTATGGCAAAAACCCTAAAAAAAATAAAAATAAAAATAATTGGAATTAAAATGGTAATACAGTTATGTTTCTAAAACAATCCTACTGTGGGGACCAGCAGTTAGTGTAATGGCTATGTAGCTGGACTCCCATGTGGTCGACTGCGGTTCAAGTCCCAGACCCGGTGGCTTAAACTCACGCCGGGTGCATGTGCGTGCATGTCCAAGATCCAGAGAGGAGAATGGAGGAGAAGGGACGGCAGTGTGGCCATCCCCCCTGGTGGGTGATTTCTCGCTTTCTGTCTCTCTGTCTCTCTGTCTTTCTGGTAAGCGCACGCGCCGTATAGCAAAAACATCTCCAAAACAAAAACAAAAAACAATCCTTCTATGTTAAAGATATACACAGGAAGGCTTACAGATGACATGACATGATGTCTAAGATTTGCTTCAAGATAGTTCAGAGTGAAAAGGATATTGATAAAGCCAGACAAGCCAGGAGATGATGCTACTGAAGCTGAGGGGTGGATACATGGGGGTTCATTATACTAGCCTCTCTATTTTTTAATATGTTTGAAATGTCCTACAATAAAATGGTCTTTAAGAGCAGCCTTATCTGGTAAAGATACACACTGAAATATTTAAGATAAATTTGAGGTAAGGGATTTGTTTCAATGGGACATGAGCTTTTAAGTCAGCTACTGAGTGGAAAACGGATGGTAGGAGCGTAAGTAGGCAAGAGGAAACCAATTAGAAGATTACTAGAGCAGTCTAATGAAGATAGGATTCTGGCTTGAATGAGAGTGCTAGCAGGAGAGGTAGGAAGAAAGAGGGTGGGCAGAGGATATGTCTCGGAACTAGAAACAGTACCAATTGCAATACAACATAGGCAATTTCTGATGTGAGCAACTGCATGGATGAATGTCCTTTTATTGAAATGAGGAAAACCAGAGGAGGAACACATGAGGGAAAAAGGAAACAACAGTGCACACATATACTTGCTAAGTTAAAGTTGCTTCTGAAACATCACAGGGGACATCTAGTAAGCAGCTGCACAGGGAAATCTGTCGCTGATCTTCATGTGTGGATGTTGACAGCATTCAGGTGGCACTGAGAGTCATGGGAATGAAATCAGCTCAAGAGAGCATGGAAGTATAAAGAGAAGGGGCCAAGGACTGACGCCTGAGATATATCAACATTCAGTAGTTGGAGGGGAAAGGAGTCTGTAAGGAAAATGGGAAAATGCAAAGTCATAGAAGGTAAGAGGAGAGAGAGTTTCAAGGAAGAAGGGAATGGGCAACTTCTGAGAGCTTTTGAAGATGAAAATTGAGAAGTGTCCGCTATAGATGGTAACACGGGACAATTGCAGGTCAGGACATGTCCAGAAGAGATGTGAGACAATGATGTGGTGGCACGAGATGGAGAGACAGATGAGTTAGCATGGACCGAGACGGACACACAAGTGAAGACACTAGGAGAAGAAGAAAAAAAAAAAAAAAACAGAGATAGGGCCACAGACACAGAAGCAGACACAGACACATGGGTGTGGACTGCAAGGACTGGGACTGCAGAAGAGACCAGTGTTACTCCACTCACCCTCGGTGCTCCCCAGCATGGGCCACACACGCATCCAGCCGGAAGCTCCAGGCACAGACAGGGTCTTGGGCCAGGATGCACTCTGAGCAGCTCTGGAGCCGGCCACAGTTGGTTGTATTCACTTGCGTCACCTCAGTAGAGGAGCTGATCAGAAGCCAGCCCTACAAGAAAGGAGTGGGCAAGGGGGATGCCGTAGGTCTCTCAGACCTGGACTCAGATGTCACTCCGCCAGGCTCCCCAAAATCTGTAACTCACATGATACAGTTTCATGTTCTCAACTGGCTGTGGCTCTGGGAATAAGGCCAGATCCTCTAGGATGCTCAGCTGGGCTCCGATTCGCACTGCTCGGTGGAGGTGTCCATCCTCTAGGGGGCAGGCAAGGGGTAAGAATAATGACAGCTGTCCCTGGGTCTGGGCCTCTGATAACTACATGTACCATGAGACCCTCTCTGGGGTGAGAGTATGTGTGCAGTGTGCACTGAGTGGGCAACATGTTTGTCTATTAAATATACCTGTCCCCAGGTACAGCACATCG